CCGATAGTATTGTGGGGAAGGCCATACTATGTTGCCGAAGCAATATCTATCGGTGCGAATGCCTGTCGGCCCACACCCTTCGGACGTGTCTCTCACTAGGTAATCTTCCACTCTTCGACCTTCTCCCTTGTCGTGGAATCCTTCTTCAGGACAAAGAATGATTTAAATCACATTTAGAATGCAGTAATGGAATAAGGAACCTACCGTAACAGTTTCACCATGTCCGACCTTGATAATTCCCTCACTGCCTTCTTTTTTGATAGTATTCTTGAACTCCACTATATCTTTGCGATTCCACAATGACGCTGGTGCGATTTCGGGATTTGCTGAAGTAAAGGGATCGATTGCCATTACAGTCATGTGAATAAACAACAACAACATGAGCAAAATAGCAAGACGGGTTTTCAGCAAGCGGGGCTTACCACTGTTTGATTAAAATACACATAACGCAAATATATGTGCAGCAGTTCTGGTGAGAACTTGCAAATTACTAAATCTATACGAAAACCAAAATGAAACAAAATTAAAATCCAGGCACTATTGAAAGTAGCGACGTGTAATTTCATAAATAAACAAACAAAAGTGTACGGTCGTTTTTGAAACTCATTCTACGCGAAGCATGCATTCTCACATGTCAGAGTGGTAGGCACTACACAACGATGAGGGTGCAAGCAAAATCAAGCAAACTAGGGGCTACGAAGAAACTTGACAAAGGGAACAGTGGAAGTGAACAGATTGTTTTCAGAAGCCTCTTCGTAGCTCCTCAGTGGCCAAGTCGTAACACGACAAACCCACAGTGACAGAAGAGTCCCATCTGTGCGTGAATAGACGACACTTCAAACAGAAATGAGTTTAATGAAGAAGCTTGAAGTGGTGCAATAAATTGGGGAAATTAACTGAAAACAGCTAACAGTGATGGTCACACGAAAAGATGAGTGGCATATTCAAAAATCACTAGTAAAATGCATTAGCTTATTATGAATAGGACAGAGAATTCCACCAGGAGGAGTGCTTCAACCTGCTAAACAAGAGTGAGCTGAGGAACGCGGAAGGAGTGTGATGCACAGTCACCCTGATTCGACTTGTATTTGAATACAGTAGCAAAAACGCCCGTCAAATCGAGATGTTGCTAGCCTGATCCGTGCACATTGTGGTGTGAAGCTACTCACGTACGAACATCAAGCGTGGAGCGGTGCTTGTTAGGCTGATGCTGCTCGAAGCGACACGATGTTAGCCATGTAGTTAGCTACTGTTCACAAGGATGAGGACTTCCCGAAGTACAAAATCAATGCGTGCCCAAGGAAAACCAATAACTTATTTTAACCCTTTCCGGACCGCGCACTTTTGCCGTGGCGGGCGCGCGTGCTACACGGCGAGCATAAATAAATATATTGGACCTGTATTTCCACTGAAATCATTACTTTGTCCCGTTTTGTATTTTTCATGATTAAGAGGACATATATAGTGAATATGACAGAAAACTGTTGCATAATGAAAGTGATAGGGCCATAAAAGGGCCATAAAAGGGAGGCAGGAATGAAAACTGCTCAAAATAAGTTGTAATGGGGGAAAAGGGAGCGGGAAGTGTCCGAAACGTTTGAGTTTAATCGCATCAGATACGACATGCAGGTAGTGTCATAAATTCTGTTGTATGAAGAGTTTTAAAATGATTTATAACTGTTTTTGCTGAGCTCAAAGTGGACATCCATTTAGTATTTAGTTATTTTAGGGACAAGTTTGAGGTTGAAGTCTAGGTTTTTTCGTACGTACGACATGAGTATCTTACATAGATATGTAACAACATAAAAGTTTTTGTCGAAAAACCTTATCCTCGGGAAAATGGTCCCTGACACCCCATGGGTGTCAGGCGGTCCGGAAAGGGTTAAATTTTTTTAGTGTGGAAGTGATCAATCGT